GCGGGCGCGGCCATCAGCACACACATCCAGCCCCTAGATCAGAGCAGGAGCTGGAGCTGATGCATGGTCCCCCTAGCTGGCTTACCACAGCGGAGGAAGAGCTGGTCCCCACCCGCAAGCATCTTTGCGCCCAGAACCAGGGACCCAGGGGCAGCACGACTCCTGGGCTGTTGGCAGGAACCGGCTGAGGCTGCGGAAGCTGTACGAACAGCCCTTTCCGTCTCCCTGGGGCTGGAGCAGAGAGGGCTGGGGAGGGGGGTGGGATGGGTCAGGCCACTGGAAGGTGACTAAGTTATGCTGGGGGTCGGTTCTCTGGGGGTGGGACAAAGGTCAGGGAGGCAGAGTGCCTCAGGCGTGGGGCTGGGTGCTGGCCTGGCTGTGCAGGTGGGGGTGGGGCAGAGGCCATGTCGTCTGGGCACCTGGGTGATGACCAGCTCCCCTGGGAAAGGAAGCAGCCAGTTTCCAGGATGCGACTTCCCACAGGGCTGGTTTCAAGCCACATCAGAGTGTCACCAAATGTGGACTGGGCAGGACATCACATTGGTTCCAGCTCACCCTGATGGCTTTGGTCTCCAAGAGGCAGACAGTGGAGGGCGGGGACTGGAGCCTTCCCAGAGGGGAGAGGTGGGCACTGTGGGCAGAGGCAGCCCAAAGGACTAGGTAGGAGGTAGGAACAGGCCACTTCAGGGCCCCAGTCGGCCTGGCTGTGGGTCAGAGCCTGGGACACCGTCCTCCCGACCCAGGCAGACGGTAGGGGCAGGTGGGTTTGGCCTGAGCCTTTTGGGACCGCAGGCAGCTAGGGGGTCTGCCTTGGTCTGCAGCCCCTGACCCGGCTCTGGGTGGTTCCCAGATAAAGTGGCGTGGGGTTCAGGGCTCTGGCCACGCTGGAGGGCTCACCCGCTTTGTTTCCTGGAAACTGTGGCATGTGGGGAGCGGGGCTGGCAGGTGTACTGTGGCTGGAGGGCTGTGCTGGGCGGTGACCGGCGAGGCGGGTGTGCTCAGGGTTGGGGTCACTGGCACATCCCTGGGGCATCTCTTCAGCACAAGCCAAACAGGTCTGGTGGTGGTGCCTAGGGAGGGACCAGAATCTCCACCTCAGAGCCCTCCCGCGGCCGCATCCCGGTGTGGCCCCGGGAAACCCCCGCACAGCCGGCCGAGGCCCTGGATGCGGCGCCCAGGTGTCCCGGCAGCGGTGAGGGGTGGGCGTGCGGG